CTTTTTTACCATCAATCATCTCTTTTATTATATGGTGCTTCCCGGTTACATCATTTTCATGACCCGTTGATAGGCCTAAATTCAGATGAATTACATTTTAGACAAAAATTAATGCACATGTACACCAAAACCATGTTTAATGAAAACATAGTTTTTTTTTGTTCCAATAACTCTTTAATCAGAAAAGATTAGTAAAGGATTATGCCAAGCATCATAAGTTACATAGTTACATAGCTGAAAAGAGGCTTGCGTCCATCAAGTTCAGCCTTCCTCACAAATGTTTTTGCTGTTGATCCAAAAAAGGCAAAAAACCTAGTCTGAAGCGCTTCCAATTTTGCAACAAACTAGGAAAAAATTCCTTCTTGACCCCAAAATAGCAGGCAGATGTATCCTTGGATCAAGCAGCTATTACCCCACTAATTAGAAATTATATTCCTGTATGTTATGCTTTTTGCAAGTATTTATCTAATTGCAGTTTAAACATTTGAAATTACTATGACAAAACCACCTCTTCAGGCAGAGAATTACATATCCTTATTGCTCTTACTGTAAGAAAACCTTTTCTTTGCCTTAGATGAAATCTCCTTTCTTCCAGCTGTGAGAGCAAATGTGGAATGGTTGTTGAGGGAATATATATTAGGCCTTTACTAAACAGCAGCCTGAGGTTTCTCAATTAAATGCCCCAGGGAGAGATGTTAGGTTTGCAAAATACATTGTTGGTACTCTGCAAACCATGGTAAGGGTCCCTGGGAGGAAGGGGGGGTGGGGGGGCATTTGGAGAGCAGGGTGGGCCAGTGCTCCAATAGCACTAGTTGCTATAGAACAGCCAGACCAGATCTTGTGTGTGTATATACCTTAGGAGTTCCAGAGATAAGAACTAATTGAGACTCACCTGTAGCTGGTCAATTAGCAGGCAGGCTTTTAAAAGAAGGGATCAGCCTGCTGCAGAGTAAGTGAGAAAGAGCCAGAGGAATGGTGTGTTTTGCAGCGATATCATGCTATTGTAAATTGGTAAGTGGGAAAGCCACCCAATTCCAGTTAGTGATTACTGTGTTTAGTAAGTGCTCAAATAAGAGCAAGGAGTTTTGTTTATTTTATTTTAATGCACCTGTATATTTTGCACCAAATAAACCAGAAAAACTGAGCTGGATGTGTCCTGGACTTTGATTACCCTAGAAGGCTGTGGTTACCATAAGATCTGTGATCAAATCCTGTAAATCTGGTAAAAGAGGTGGTTTGTTACACAGCCTAAATGTGTGACCTTGTGTCCTATGTATAGCTCTGTCTATGAATAGATTTCCAGATAAAGGTTTTGTACTGGCCCCGAATACACTGCTCAAAAAAATAAAGGGAACACTTAAACAACACAATGTAACTCCAAGTCAATCACACTTCTGTGAAATCAAACTGTCCACTTAGGAAGCAACACTGAGGGACAATCAATTTCACATGCTGTTGTGCAAATGGGATAGACAACAGGTGGAAATTATAGGCAATTAGCAAGACACCCCCAATAAAGGAGTGGTTCTACACTTCTCAGTTCATATGCTTCCTGGCTGATGTTTTGGTCACTTTTGAATGCTGGCGGTGCCATGGCTGGCCTTAGGCCTTTAAGTGCCCTGTGCGAAAAATCTTCACAGCCCCCGTCATCCACGTATGATGTAATGTTTGTGTTGTTGGTGTATGTGATAGGTGTGATGACTGTGTGTGATATGTATTCCATGTGTTGGCTTTGTGTAATATCTGTAATGGGTGCATTGACTGTGTGTGATATGCGTGTATTGGTTGTATGTGGTATTTGTGCTGGGTTTATTGGCTGTGTGTGATGGGTATTTAATTCAGATAAAAATTATGCATTTAGGCATGTGTGTGAATGCAGGTGTATATTTTTGCAGAGTTATGTGCACACAGTGCCACAGTCAGATGCAGTCAGTTATACATAGACAATGTCAAAGACACCACATGCACACAGTCACAGGCAAATAGTCACATACACAGGATCAGGCAGAAACACACAGGTACAGGCAGTAACACACATACACAGTTACAGGTAGATAAACACACTCACACACAATTACAGGCAGACAGCCCCCTTCCCCCCCACACACACACAGGCAGACAGCCACACATACAGTCTTACACACACACAGTCACACATACAGTCTTACACACACATACTTACATGCAGACAGTCACACACACACTCAGCCACACACACACAGGCAGGCATGGAGGCTCTATCAGGAGACGTGGAGGAGGCCGTAGGAGGGCAACAACCCAGCAGCAGGATCGCTACCTCCGCCTTTGTGCAAGGAGGAACAGGAGGAGCACTGCCAGAGCCCTGCAAAATGACCTCCAGCAGGCCACAAATGTGCATTTGTCTGCTCAAAGGGTCAGAAACAGACTCCATGAGGGTGGTATGAGGGTCCGACGTCCACAGGTGGGGGTTGTGCTTGCAGCCCAACAACGTGCAGGATGTTTGACATTTGCCAGAGAACACAAAGATTGGCAAATTCGCCACTGGCACCCTGTGCTCTTCACAGATGAAAGCAGGTTCACACTGAGCACATGTGACAGACATGACAGAGTCTGGAGATGCCATGGAGAACGTTCTGCTGCCTGCAACATCCTCCAGCATGACCGGTTTGGCAGTTGGTTAGTAATGGTGTGGGGTGGCATTTCTTTGGGGGGGCCGCACAGCCCTCCATATGCTCGCCAGAGGTAGCCTGACTGCCATTAAGTACCGAGATGAGATCCTCAGACCCCTTGTGAGACCATATGCTGGTGCGGTTGGCCCTGGGTTGATCCTAATGCAAGACATTGCTAGACCTCATGTGGCTGGAGTGTGTCAGCAGTTTCTGCAATACTAAGGCATTGATGCTATGGACTGGCCCGCCCGTTCCCCAGACCTGAATCCAATTGAGCACATCTGGGACATCATGTCTCACTCCATCCAACGTCACGTTGCACCACAGACTGTCCAGGAGTTGGCAGATGCTTTAGTCCAGGTCTGGGAGGAGATCCCTTAGGAGACCATCCGCCACCTCATCAGGAGCATGCACAGGCGTTGTAGGGAGGTCATACAGGTACGTGGAGGCCACACACACCTGAGCCTCATTTTAACTTGTTTTAAGGACATTACATCAAAGTTAGATCAGCCAGTAGTATGTTTTTCCACTTTAATTTTGAGTGTGACATCAAATCCAGACGTCCATGGGTTGAAAAATTTGATTTCCATTTTTTTATTTTTGTGTGATTTTGTTGTCAGCACATTCAACTATGTAAAGAACAAAGTATTTCAGAAGAATATTTAATTCATACAGATCTAGGATGTGTTATTTTTGTGTTCCCTTTATTTTTTTGAGCATTGTATTTGTATAATGTTATCATATCCCCTCTCAGGCGTTGTTTTTCCAAACTAAACAGATTTAATTTTTTTTAACCTTTCTTCATAACTAAAATGCTCCATTCCTTTTATTAATTTTGTAGCTCGTCTCTGCACTTTTTCTAGTGTCATGATATCTTTCATTAGAACAGGTGGCCAAAATTGCATAGCATATTCAAGGTGTGGTCTTACCAGCGATTTATAAAGAGGCAAAATTATTTTTTTCATCACATGAATTTATGCCCCTATTTATACATGACAAAACCTTAGCAACTGCCTTAGCAACTGCAGATTGACATTGCATATTGCTGCCTAATTTGTTATCTATAACAATTCCCAAATCCTTCTCGTGTGTGGTTATCCCTAGTTCACTATCATTTAGGGTGTAAATTGCTTGTGCATTCTTAACCCCGAAGTGCATAACTTTGCATTTCTCTACGTTAAATTTAATCTGCCATTTTAGTGCCCAGTCCCCCGATCTATCCAAATCCCTCGGCAGCAAAGCAATATCCTGCTCACAATATCAGTGGCAGTAACAGTAGGCATTTTCTGCCACATGGGTTAATTTAAATGGTTTGTTTTCGTTGGTGAGACACTCATACAGGGGCTGCATGTAGATTGCTGTAGAAGCCAAGGTTGGCAGTATGAATCGTAGCTGGGCTAGGCTGCGGGGGGGGGGTGGATGTAATAGTTTGAACTGCAGTATGCCTCTGCCAAGAACTTCAGTAAGGAAAGAGTGTTTACAATACAAGATTCCATATTATCGCAACATAGGAGTAGGTCATCGATATACTGCAATAAAACTACGTTATTTGGCCTTTTCCACTCTTCAAGAATCTGGGCCATAGCCATGCTGTACATAATGGGTGAGTTTTGTGCGCCCTGTGGCAATACTGTCCAAGTGTACTGCTTGTGTTTATGTGTAAATGCAAATAAAAACTGACGGGAGCCAGGGTACACTGAAAAATGCATTTGCCAAGTCAATAACAGTAAATACCTTAGAGGAAGGTGGTATTTGTGCCAACAAGGTGTGTGGGTTGGGAACATTAGGGGCAATGAGTTCAGTTACAGCATTAATTGCCCTCAAATCATGTACAATACGGTAGACCACAGGTTTCCCCAGGGGTCAAGTCCTGGGGAAAAAAGTGTGGGAACTCACCCAAGATTCCCGCCCCGCCCCCCCCCCTTTAAAAAAAAAAAAATTACACTCCTATGCATATAGTGCAGTGCAGGGTGTGTATAATGAATGTAGTGTGTTTGTAGTGAATGCAGAGTGTGTATAATGAATGCAGTGTGTTTTTAGTGAGTGCAGAGTGTGTACACAGAATGCAATGTGTTTGTAGTGAATGCAGAGTGTGTATAGTGAATGTAGTGTGTAGTGAGTGCAGAATGTGCATAATAAATGCAGAGTGTGTATAGTGAATGCAGAGTGTGTATAGTGAATGCAGAGGGTGTATAGTGAATGCAGAGTGTTTGTAGTGAGTGAAGAGTGTGTATAATGAATGCAGTGTGTGCGTGTGCTGGATGATGTGTGTGCTCGCTGGATGACGTGTGTGTGCTCACTGGATGACGTGTGTGTGAGTGCTGGATGATGATGTGTGTGTGAGTGCTGGATGATGATGTGTGTGTGAGTGCTGGATGATGTGTGTGTGTGTGCTGGATGATGTGTGTGTGTGTGCTGGATGATGTGTGTGTGTGTGCTGGATGATGTGTGTGTGTGTGCTGGATGATGTGTGAGTGTGTGCTGGATGATGTGTGTGTGTGTGCTGGATTATGTGTGTGTGAGTGCTGGATGATGTGTGTGTGTGTGCTGGATGATGTGTGTGTGTGTGTGTGCTGGATGATGTGTGTGTGTGCTGGATGAGTGTGTGTGTGCTGGATGATGTGTGTGTGCTGGATGATGTGTGTGTGCTGGATGATGTGTGTGTGTGTGTGTGTGGCTGTGTGCTGTGGATGATGTGTGTGTGTGCTGGATGATGTGTGTGTGTGTGCGTGCTGTGGATGAGTGTGTGTGTGTGTGTGTGAGGTGCTGGATGATGTGTGTGTGTGAGGTGCTGGATGATGTGTGTGTGTGAGTGCTGGATGATGTGTGTGTGTGTGAGTGCTGGATGATGTTGTGTGTGTGAGTGCTGGATGATGTGTGTGTGTGTGTGAGTGCTGGATGATGTGTGTGTGTGTGTGTGCTGGATGATGTGTGTGTGTGTGTGTGTGTGCTGGATGATTGTGTGTGTGTGCTGGATGATTGTGTGTGTGTGCTGGATGATTGTGTGTGTGAGTGCTGGATGATGTGTGTGTGAGTGCTGGATGATGTGTGTGTGTGAGTGCTGGATGATGTGTGTGAGTGCTGGATGATGTGTGTGTGTGCTCTGGATGATGTGTGTGTGTGCTCTGGATGATTTGTGTGTGAGTGCTGGATGATGTGTGTGTGTGTGAGTGCTGGATGGTGTGTGTGTGTGCTGGATGATGTGTGTGTGTGCTGGATGATGTGTGTGTGTGTGTGCTGGATGATGGGTGTTTGTGTGAGTGCTGGATGATGGGTGTTTGTGTGAGTGCTGGATGATGGGTGTTTGTGTGAGTGCTGGATGATGGGTGTTTGTGTGAGTGCTGGATGATGGGTGTTTGTGTGAGTGCTGGATGATGGGTGTTTGTGTGAGTGCTGGATGATGGGTGTGTGTGTGCTGGATGATGGGTGTCTGAGTGCTGGATGATGGGTGTCTGAGTGCTGGATGATGGGTGTGTGAGTGATGGATGATGGGTGTGTGAGTGCTGGATGATGTGGGGGGGGGAGCATTTTTTTTAACTTTATGTGTCTATATTTTTTTTTATTTTATTCCCCCCTCCCTGCTTCTTACCTTGTCAGGGAGGGGGGAGATCGCCTGGTGGTCCGGTGGTATGTTGGAGGGAGGCAGCCGCTGCACAGAGGGGCCATCACACGCTGTGCTCCCTCTCCAGCTCTAACTCTCGCGAGACTCGCCTGTGCGGAGCGTTGCCATGGTAACAGCCGCGGGTCTCGCGAGAGTTATAGCTGGAGAGGGAACACAGCGTGTGCTGGCCCCTCAGTGCAGGTAGCAGGGCCGGTCCTGCAGGACAGGTAACGGGAACGGCGTTCCTGCTTTGGAAAAAGTGCAGGAACGCCGTTCCCATGCGTTCCTGCAGGACTCGAGCCCTGGGTTTCCCTTTCTCTTGCTTTTTCTTAATTGGGTACAATGGTGTGTTACAAGGGGAGGTGGTCTGGACAACTACCCCTGCCTGCAGAAACTCTTGCACAGATTGCAAAATAGCATCTTCCTGTGCTGGGCTTAGGGGGTATTGTTTTTGATAGGGAGGTTTGGCTCCGGGCAGGAGATTCACTTTGACTGGGGGCACAGAGAGTCTGCCTGCATCTGTCTTCCCTGTAGCCCATAAGGAATCAGGGACTGAGGACAAGTCAATGGTAGGTTCTGGCACATGGCTGGGCATAGTGAGAGTTGCCAGAACATTTGAAACAGATATCATTTGTTTGTCCTCTAAAGGCACAGACAATGTTACTTTTCCAGTGGGGCTATACTGGATATTTGCAGACAGTATATCACTGCCTAGTAGATTAGCAGGGGCATGAGGGCTGACAAGTAGCCTTGTTACAAGGGCAGTAGAATTGAGTAGCTTCAATTTCAGCTTGTGGGTAAGGGGAATGTCATTTTCGATACCATCTACCCCTACACATGATAATACATCATTAGATTTCTCATACGGGAATACATATTTTTCCTGTAACATCGATTTAGCAGCGCCAGTGTCCAACAGGAAAGGGACTGTTCGGTCCCCAGGCAGTGTAACATTGATAATGGGTGAGGGTCCTGCAGAGTCAGGGATATTGATGATATGTAGGGACACTGGTTTGCCAATTTCCTATTGGGGGGGGAGGTGGTGGTGGTTGGCTGTCATGGGAGTTATCATTAGAATCTTGGGGTTTTCTATTTTTAGGAGGACACTTGCAGTTATGTTTAATGTGTCCTTTCCTGCCACAATTCCAGCAGTCTACCTGCCTTCTGTCCCCACCAGCTCTAGGGACAGTTACAGCCATTAGAGGTGTGCTCCTCTTTCTAGTATTTAGATTAGCTTCCACTCCCCTAGCCACCTTCACCAGATCACCATAGGTTAAACTTCTCCACTCAGGTCTAGCATTTTGGAGACCAGTCCTTATGGGTATGTGGATACCATCCATGAAGCAGTTAATAAGCAGTCTGGTGGAAGTGGTTACAACATCAGTGTAACCCAATGCCTCCCAAGCCATTTGTAGTCTGGTGAATGTTTCTACAGATTTATCTTTCCCTTGTAGTATATCTCCTAATTTATGGGCTAGTTCTTCTGTCTTTACCTTAGCCCATTCTCTCATTGCAGTGACATAGCATGCTCCAGATGCAGACTTGGTTGGTTCTAAACCATTCATCTGTTTGCATGTTGCTTTTTCTGAGGTTATCTTCATGGGCATCTGTATATTTATCATGGGCATCTGTATATTTAGCAATTATTCTAGCCAAAATGGGGCTAGCTTTTAGTGTCACAATCTGTTTTAAATCTATCCAAATACACTGGTAAGTAGCTTGAATGGTGGATAGAGACTGGACTAGAGCTATGGGGGCCTTTTCAACATCTGCCAGCTGCTGTATTATTGCCAGTTGTTCACTGGGTGTCCAGGGCTTATATTCTTCCCAGTATTGGATACCTGAGCTCGGCTGTCTGTGCTTATGGTATACACTCTCAACTTACAACATCAGTGTAACCCAATGCCTCCCAAGCCATTTGTAGTCTGGTGAAGAATGTTTCTACAGATTTATCTTTCCCTTGTAGTATATCTCCTAATTTATGGGCTAGTTCTTCTGTCTTTACCTTAGCCCATTCTCTCATTGCAGTGACATAGCATGCTCCAGATGCAGACTTGGTTCTAAACCATTCATCTGTTTGCATGTTGCTTTTTCTGAGGTTATCTTCATGGGCATGGGCATCTGTATATTTAGCATGGGCATCTGTATATTTAGCAATTATTCTAGCCAAAATGGGGCTAGCTTTTAGTGTCACAATCTGTTTTAAATCCATCCAAATACACTGGTAAGTAGCTTGAATGGTGGATAGAGACTGGACTAGAGCTATGGGGGGCCTTTTCAACATCTGCCAGCTGCTGTATTATTGCCAGTTGTTCACTGGGTGTCCAGGGCTTATATTCTTCCCAGTATTGGATACCTGAGCTCGGCTGTCTGTGCTCATGGTATACACTCTCAACTTACAACATCAGTGTAACCCAATGCCTCCCAAGCCATTTGTAGTCTGGTGAAGAATGTTTCTACAGATTTATCTTTCCCTTGTAATATATCTCCTAATTTATGGGCTAGTTCTTCTGTCTTTACCTTAGCCCATTCACTCATTGCAGTGACATAGCATGCTCCAGATGCAGACTTGGTTCTAAACCATTCATCTGTTTGCATGTTGCTTTTTCTGAGGTTATCTTCATGGGCATCTGTATATTTAGCAATTATTCTAGCCAAAATGGGGCTAGCTTTTAGTGTCACAATCTGTTTTAAATCCATCCAAATACACTGGTAAGTAGCTTGAATAGTGGATAGAGACTGGACTAGAGCTAAGGGGGCCTTTTCAACATCTGCCAGCTGCTGTATTATTGCCAGTTGTTCACTGGGTGTCCAGGGCTTATATTCTTTCCAGTATTGGATACCTGAGCTCGTCTGTGCTCATGGTATACACTCTCAACTTTGGGTATCATGGGAGTAGAAAATTGTGGAGCTAATGGCCCCACTGGGGTTTCTGTGGGGGTAACTAGGGGTTCCTTTAAGTCTGGACTACCTTCCTGCGCTAATGAACCCATAGGTCTTAATGGGACACCACATGAAGTCCCACTGTGTAATATTACTGGAAAGAGAGGTTTTGATCTCCGTAAAAGGGACATCGCCTTGTCTTTTGGGACCAAAGGAGTCCCTGCAGTATCCTGGTAAAGGGGTGGGTTTACAAGATTTTTCCCAGAATCTTGCCTACTCTGGGACCCTAGAGGTCCAAACCATTGATAATATGGTACACCTTTCCTAGTGGTTTCTCTACAACCACATTTAGTTAATTCAACAGCAGTATCATGCCATTTTTGTGCGACTTCTACTAAGTCATTATCTTCTAACCAACCTCTGTAATTTGCCATAAATTCTCTCCATATATGTGGGTCTAGAGTGCCCTCTGAGGGCATGCCTGCTTTCTTAAGTAACCTCTTAACATTCTTAATTGCTCCTTGTCTTTTGTGATGCTTGACAATAATGAAAGCCGTAAATCCCCCTTGGGTACTTTCAGAGCTACCCATCTTAAAACTTGTAAGGGTTAATTACTTCCTTACACAAGACAAACTGTACAAAAACAGTGTATTTGACACTTAGGACCGCTGCAGTGGAATTTTCCCAGTTTTGTCTTCTAAACACAGATCAGGAGATCTGCCCTTGGAGGATTCTAACTCAAATATAAAACAAATGACAAAGAAAACAATAAAAATAACTTACAACCCACAGTTATATTCCACTATCTCAAGATTCCTTTCACAAGACATAACACAACCTCCACAACCTGAATATAACCATAATACCACAGAAAACAATTTCTTTAGATCAGACGTTTTTAAGTCGTTCTTTACCCAGACAGACTAGTAGGACGTGGATCTGAGAGCGAAATTGATAAAGGTATAAAAAAAATGTCTTACCTTGCTGCAGCTGATTTCACTGTCAGAGGGACGTCCACCTGTACGCTAGTGTCCGAGTCTCTCGACCGTCAGATCCCGGGTTTCGTCACCAAATTGTTGTGGATCAGAATGTTGATCTTTGTTATATTCAGAGGAAGCCCAAATTGTTGTTACAAGTGCACTTGGAGAAGCGAGACTTAGACACCAGACGCCTGTTGGTATTCAAAATAAGCCTCTGACGTTTTATTCATAAGCTGGGTTTTATACATTAAAAAGTAAGTGCTTACGTGCAAATTCTCTTAGAACAGTAATAGGAAGAGAGTACAGATAAGACATAGGGATGAGTGTCATGTACACATAACAAATAAGTTTCAAGGTAAGAGAGAACAAAATGATTAGAGCAGAGACATCTTAAGTGGGGGCTCTCTGCTCCTGGAACTTAGACATATATGGTCTTAAGTGTTGTTTAAGCATCAAGCATTTCCTGAGTCCAAGTTAGCCAATTTTAATATAGGATATCATTATATGTCACCTATAAGCTTGAGCCTTGGAATCAAGATAAATTCTATCACAGAAGTTTTACGCTGTGTCCATGTTCCAATTTGGAGTAGTTTAGACGGTTGGTTATTGAAACTTCCCCACAAACACAAACTACTTATTAAAGAATACACCCTGGGGTAATTCAAAGGCATATTTTGAACCTTAGCGTGGGATCATTTTTTCTCTAGTTTGTTCCAGGTGTAGTGGTAATGAGCGTTTTTAAATGTATTTTTTTTTACTTTTTTTACTTTTAAAAACTAGTTTTTAAACTTTTGTTTTGCTTATTAATTTTTTTTAAACTTTCCTAAACTTTCTTAAAACTTTTTTTACAGATTTAAAATTTTTCTAAGCTTTTTTTTTACCGTTAACCCCTAACTAGCAGTAAGCAGCACTAACAGTATATTCCCCTTTTTCCCATAACTCCCACACACCCCAGCTAGCAAAATATATAATTATAAAATATTTAAATTAATTAATTAAATAAATTGAACCCCTGAGGGTTAAAAAATAAATAAAAGTTAATTCTCACTAAAAAAATTAGATCACAGTATAGTACTGTGATCTGTATTTTGATCACTGTAGGCAGTGATCGACTGGCAGGGAAGGGGTTAATTTTTATTTGGACTGGGTAAAGGGGGTGTTTTTTTATTTTTTACTTAAACATTATTACAATTTTTTTTAGCTTTATTTTTTAACTTTTTAAAGTTTATTTTAAAAAATTTTTTAACGTTAACCCCTAGTTAACCTAACACCAAATCCCCCAATTCCCCACTAACTTCCACCCACCCCAGCTAGCTAAATATATAATTTAAAAATATTTAAAATTAATTAATTAAATAAATTTAACCCCTGCGGGTTAAAAAAAAAAGAATTAACCCTCAGAGGTTAAAAAAATTATAATCATATGACAGTAAAATGTAATCCCTGCCAATTGATCACTGTAGTCAGTGATCAATTGGCAGAGAAGGGGTTAATTTTTAATTAAAATGAGTAAAGTGGGATTTTAAATAAACTTTATTTTATTTTTTTTAACAGGGGGCAGGATCAGCACTGTTCCGGCTCCCTGCACTTCACACAGAACCAGGAAGTGCAGGGAGGCGGAAGGTAAGTATACTAAGCACATGTGCTCGCTCTGACATGCTGTGT